CCTTTATTTTTCACATATTCCACCAGCATAGTTTTTTGCTTTTCGGAATCATTTGCACCTCTCTTTTTTAAACTGTCCATTATAATAACGAGGTACAATTATATACACCTCTTTAACCATAGAACAGATGGAATGAGAATAAATACGAAATTAGATTTAATTTTGCGAAATGTCAATTTTAATTCAGGTGTTGTCAAATCTATCAATCGCAATATATGATCGCATCTTTACGATGATCGTAAGTAAAGTTGCGAATAATAGAAACTGTCACTCAAAAATTGATTGTTTTCTTGACATTCGTAACTACGTACACGTAACTTTGCGTATTCGCAAAAAAACGATCGCATCTCAAAAATTGACCCCCTGCTCTGTTGCACCGTGACTCCCTTCGGTGCTCCGCACTGTGCAATCGCAAGCGCGCTAGAATTTGAATTTGCGTTGAACTGTATTATAAGGGAAAGGGGTAAATCTACGAGTAAAAAATATACTCGTAGGCCCACTTAGATTGCACCGTATCGTAAAATTTTTTTCGCGTAGTCAGCAGGAAACGTGGAAATAAACAAAACAAACGCGTGCACGTTGACGCGTTAAAGCAAATCCAAATTCAAGCGCTTGCGGTCGGACGTTGTTGAGGGATTAATTTTAAATGTAAGTATATAGGATAAAAAATATTGTGTGCACCACAGCACGAAAGTTGTTTTCCGGGCCTCAGGAAGTGGCCAGCCTCGGCTGCGCCTCGTCTGGCCATATCTTCCTTCGCCCCGGAAAACATCCACTTTCCCGCCTTGGTACACAAAGTACTATTCTGGACGTGTAATGAAGGATATTTTTCATTATACCTCTCTGAAAATAATTATTTACATTGAAGCCGAAATCCAATTTGACAACAAATTTTGTTGCTTGTCTTATGATGACACACATACATTATTTGCGAAACAAAACGAAACAAAATTTAAGGGTTTTATTAGATGAACAGCAACAGCAAAGAACAAATTAACTAAACAAAATCGAATATAAAATGAAGAAAAAGGTTAACTATTAGGCATTGCCATAGAAATGAACGTTTATGGTACAATTTTGGTTATTAGATATGTTTAGTCCTTGTGTTTTGTCTTTTTGCCCAATTGAAAAGTTGTTTTCGGTCGCTGAAAGAATTGGCATTGCTGATGTAATGTACGCCTGAGAACTTTCTTGGGGAATACGGCTCGTGGTTCCGATCTCCACAATTTCCGATATAGTTCGAACGTCCGAATCTCTCGATGTACTGCATTCGTTAGGACGATTAAACAATCTAGAGGATATATCAATTTTTCTGTTTAATGACTCATCTATGTACCCTTCGGCTACTGCTGATGAACGCCAACCTCCATGTCGCTTAAGAGTTAACAAATCAGCTCCACCTTCTACTAACATCGACGCTGAAGATCGTCTTAAGCCGTGTCCCGTATATTCAGTGGGATTTTTTAAATTCAAATATTCTGCAATTTGCCGTGTAGTTCCACTAATAGTATGGTACCCAACGTTCTGCTTATAACATTTACCATTACGATACGCAATAAAAAACTTCTGGCTTGCAATATCTTTAGGACGTAATGCCACATATTTTCGAACTAGTTTACAGGGCTGGAATGAACACCCTTCTTCAGTTATGGTGAAGCTTCTAGACCTATGAGTTTTTCCGTCCCGAAGGAAAACCACTAAAAAACGCCCATTATCTTCAACATCGTCAATAGTCAAGCGAATTAAATCGTCTCGTCTGCAAGCTCCGAAAATTCCGAACACTAGAATAACCTTAGTAAGTAACCATTTTACATCTGCAGCTTCATTCAAAAATTGAGTAACTTGCTCCCTTGTTAGAACTTTTGATTTTTTTGGAATGTAGCCGACGGTCTGAGGTTTCAAAAAGGCGATGGTTTTACAGAATTTGCTAGCGTCCACATTTTCTTTTATTGCAAGACAACTCTTGATCATTGAAAACCTACTCCATAACGTACTTGGTTTCATAGATTTTCCCTTTTTCGATAAATATACCAGCAAAACATCATCCACAACTTTTATCACGTTTTCTTCCACGCACCACTTACGAAATTCTTCATATTCCTTTTCGTATCTTTCCTTTGATTTTGCTGGTAATAATTGGGAACTGGCTTCTGCAGCTTCTCTTAGTATATTAGCGGGAATTTCGACTTCTTCAAAATCCATTTTAACATAATGGTAGGTATAAATAAGAATCGGTTGACAATTACGTATGTCAAAGTTAAGTTGCGGTATGCATGGAAACGCATATGACTCGTAGATGGGGCTAGTTATGGCAGACTTGATTATTCGTAGCGCACCGGAAAAAAGTTTTCCTGTGCGCCCGCACGGGAATACCCTACCTTCGGTGCGCGTGGCATACATAAAAGGACAGCACTTTCAGAGAGGTATAATGAAATAGTACTTTCCCGTGTTTGCATGAAACGTCATGCGCCCACGGGAAAAGCTTCCTTTCTGGACTGGTAATGAAATATACTATTGGAGTAGCCGGCAGGATGCTCGAAACTGGTCTAAGGAAATTCCGATCTTTGCCACAGATGAAAAATTCACCTCAACCCAGGTTCGAACACCCGACCTCCCGGCTATGTAGCCCAATGTTCGGTCCACACAGACGGAAAAAATATAAAATATATACAGGGTGCCCAATATGTATGGAACATAGTATATATCTCGGTAATTATCGAATGTATAAAAAATTTTTCTATAGGTATGAAAGTTGTTTTAACATTTTATTTCCCATAATAAGGTAGCATTTAGCTGTTTTTATTTCAGAAAACAAATGAGTAACGAAAAACAATTAATTTTTTTTAAATGGCAGTGCACCTTAACATTAGGCTCATTTGATAGAGGTTTTTTTCTCTTTTCGATGATGTAACATGTTAGCACCCTAACAAAAGAAAATTGTTCAAAAAAACAATTCAATAACATTAATCTAGATATTCTACATCAAAATAAAACAAATGAACTATTGGATACGGTGTGTTTGAACCTTAGACCATATAGTACATGGACTGCTATTAGCCCTATACTTTCAATACAAAATGGGTGGTCACGGATAGAGGGCACTGTAGTCGTGGGTATGTCATAGATATATAAATACATAGATACAGCCATACCCCAACATAGTTCAAAAGGACGTACCATCTATTACCATCACTTTCGGCACATTAATTACGTATAGCGCTATCCTTTATAGAGGTACCCTGAGCATGGAAGACAAGATTCGCATTATTTATTATAACTGTCAATCAAATTGTTAGCACAAATCACACAGAAAATTATCAGATTTGAGACTTTACAACATAAATAAACCGCCTTTTTATTTATTTAAATCGCATAGCAGCAAGAAATGTTACATTTAAAATGGAAGATGTTACTTATAAAGCTGGCAAATGAAGAATTTGAAAAAATTACAGCTGACAACTGGAAGAAAGTGTGTGAACATGTGGAAAGTGATTAATTTAAAAGAGAAGTTATATTTGGTTGATGTTGCTGAACTTTATAATACCTAAGTGTTAATAATGACAGTGATGATTCGAATTTGTCAATTTCATCTGACGATGATTCGGATTGTGAGCTTTTACAAACGTAATGAATGTTCACTAAATGAGTATTATCACCAATTGGATATCATTGTTGTATTTATTTTAAATAAATGTACACGTGTAGCTTACTTACTACAATTAGCACTATAATTTCAAAAAGAAACCCCACCGAATGGTCACATATGCCGAAAGGTAGGCAAGACGCGTAGCGACCAAAATTTGATATTGCACGCACACACAGTCTAAAAACTCGTTTTCCTAAGAATATTGGACGGATCCTTCTTTGTGATCATGATACAAACGCACTGCATCAACATCATATAGGCCAAAATAATAATTGGAAACGAATTCTCTTCCTGTCGCAACAATTTCCTTTACCATTACGCCTAAAACCATGCAATTAAAATTAAAATGTTGAACATAAACTTTACTTACTTACGGTTTATTTGATATTCTGCAAGCCAGCAATGAATTCAATGCAGCACATCATGCCAAACAGGGTAAACATTATCCCAAATTTGAATGGCGTAGTTCGATGTAATAAAACTATTTCAGGAATAACAATTATTATTAACGCGTCTATCATTATGGCAAGCACTAATGTTATTCGTATTCAATTGATAACGCAATAATTACATAATATTTAGTGAAAAAACCGCCCATCATGTTTAGGGCGAATATTTTTAGTTAGATTGGATTTCGCGCTATCGTGAAATGTGTCAACTGTCACATGACTTATGGGACGCGCTAAGTTTGTTTTAAGCGTCCGATTCGCGTACGACATAGTGGTTAATGCAATAAAAAGAGATAGAACATGTTTCATCTTGGTTAGAAAGTAATGGAGAGATGTACAAATTTCTTTGATATGTTTTTTAAAAACCGAGGTACGTTTGTTAAGGATGGCTGTATCTAGGTATTTATATATCTATGGGGTATGTGAATCTCAGGGTAAACTAAAGTCGTATGAACACCACTCGCATCGCGTAAAGAGTAGCTTTTATGGTAACCGCGTAGTACAGGAAGCTTTAAATACACTTGATTATCTTCTATACGTCCACAAATAAGAATAGGTTTGCTTTTTTTTGCCATATCTAAGCGAATAATTAATTGACGTTTGTTAATTTATAGGTTGACAGTCTCACATCGTATCTAATCGGACAACTTCGGACAGGCTCGTTTACCCTGAAACTCACATACCCAGGCGATGTCCTTGACCATATTTTCGTTACAATTAGCAGTCCATGTACTATATGGTCTAAGGTTTGAACTGTTATATACGTAATTAATCAATTTTATGTGTTTATTAAACGCTTCAGATTTTTGCTTTCAATCAATTCAAGATTTATTTGCTGCAAAGTAAAGCACTGAATTTCTATACAAGACAACCTACATGTAGTCAGTAATAACTTATGTACTTACGATTCGTCCTTTAACAGTTCTTCGGTTAGTTCAAGGCGCAGTCGTACCACTTTTATGGACTGAAATGGAAACAATTTACAAAATTCGCTTAGGAACATCGGATCCCAGCAATACTTTGGGTACAGATCACACACATCCCATAATCTCTTGTTGTGAATAAATAAGCAAACAGAGGTTTGTCGAAAAGCTAGGTAATTACCAAAATCTGTATAATCACAATTTAACAATTTTTTTAAGTTCTTTACAGCCGTATCTCCATATGGTGGTCCTCCAATTTGAACAATTCCATAATTTAACAACGGTTCGTAATGATAAAAATTTCCAGGTACGGCGTTAATAATGTCGCCTAAAAATGTCGAGCCCGATCTCCACGTTGCTATAATAATATTTCTTAAGGGCCTTCCTCCCGTTGACAGGGTGAAATTTTGTAATTTCCAATTATTCGGAAAGGGATAATCAGATGTTGCCTGTTCAATAAAAGCACCCTGCTGCTTGATAACATCCTTGACTGTTGCGATGTGGTTGTAATTGTGTTGTGGGGTGCATATTCCTCGTGTATAGCATTTGAGTGGATTTGTGAATGTTTTGGATAAACTGACATGAGATCGTTCATTGAAAAACAATAGTAAGAGGAAGAAAGCTGCTGCACCTGCAACTACTGAAAACCCCAGGAGCCTTACTCTTGACATTTATTAATTAGAATTTGAAATGTATCAGGTTTTTCAATTCACTGCTATCCTTTCACCATGAAGAATGATTTTATGTGAACACTGTATTAATTTTTATTGCTATTTTGGCTGTATACTTTTGTGGCACGTATAAGTACAGTTCAGATCTTTAGTGCTTTGTGGACATCTACTGATGAGCGCATTACAAATAACAGTTTTTGTTCAGACAACCCCTACCATTGTGAATTTGATGTCTACGCTACCTATGCATATTGCGCGTCTATTTCTTGCCGTAATAACTCAGCATGCGTCGCTGGTCACTTCTCTGTCAGAGGTGTGGGCAAGATTATATTCCTGTTTTGGTGGAATACTAGCTCAGTGGTGGGTTAGGATTTTATCTATCGTTCGAAGCTACTCGCTAAGTGCAGGCAGATGCCTCCTCATGGAAGCTCGCATGTTTATGTCAACGGTACAACAGAATTTTCAAAAGTTTGGCTGGTAGGTACGTATTAAAATAAGTGCTAGATAATTATTAAAAGGTAAATAATCCAAGGTAATGGAATTTACTTATTAGTCTGGTGTATACTGTGTAAGTATAAATAATAAGAAACTTTGATAGATAAACCTTATCATCCAACTTGAATTAAGTATAGGATTTTATAATGATTTTACGCTTTCAAGGAACCGAATCCCCAGTTACCGTTAATTTCTTCAGCGACCATTTATTTTAACCTTGAAAAATACATATATAGTCACCAAAAATGCATCGCAATAATGCTTTTGGGCTATTTGCCAACAATCTTGGTGAATGAATAACGATATTGACATGTTTTGATCAAAATATGGTGGAAAAAATGCATCACAACACAAGTCTTGGGCATTGAGATATTGGCCCGTATGAATAAAAGTAAGCAAATGCTTATATGCTTATATACTTGCAAAATTCAAAGTAAATACTCGTAACTGCCCCTTCATACTGGTCTGTAGCATGGTTTAGCAGCGGTGCACTGCGTCCTGTCCTGCTTAGAAGCGCTGCTAAGTCGCCCAGTGCGAAGGAGCCCTTACGAGTATTTACTTTGAATTTTGCAAGTATAAGCATTTGCTTACTTTTATCCATACGGGCCAATGCTCTTAATCTTGTTCCTCCAGTGCAAGAAGTACGATTTTGACATGGTTTGATCAAAATACATGTGGCAAAAATAGAAATTTAACATCTTTGAATCATACACACGCGGTTAGCAAATGTGCATGTGATGTACTCTTTCGGCATGAAGGTAATGCGTTTGAAAGCTTTTACAACGAAGTCACCAGATTCACCCCAATCGGAACGAATGGCCCCACTGCAGTTAGCAAACAACAAGATTAACCTGAACGTCCTCCTGATCTATGCACATCTGATTTTTACAATATGCTTGTCTTAACTAGAACCATCTGCGGTTAAAATTTCAAAACAAGATAAAAAGCCATTATGCAAACATACATGATGAGAGCGTATATTGACAGTTATAGTGTTCACGGACGGCAGACGAACACCATTGACTCCCTCATAAAGCTTGCATCGCTTTGCTCTACCGCTTAATAATTCAGAAAAAACTCGTGGTTGTGATTGATCCATGCTCTAAATGGGGGTGATGAACCATAAAGGAAATAAACGACTCAATTCCTCCAAACCTTCCCCATGGATATTTAATTGTTGACAGACGGATATAGGTAATTGTGAAATGTTACGACATGTTTCGATTGTTAATCATCTTCAGGTAACAAACTAAAATATTTATTTAAATATTTAAGTTAAACTGTTGACTAGATAGCTATTGAAAACACTTACTTATGAGTACGGTGTGAGAAAAATTACATTATTGAAAAGTTGTTGAAGCCTTGACGATACATATTGAAGTTTTGGCGATACATTGAAATAGGTTTTTGTGCAGTGAATTTAGAATATTGAAACAATTGGATAAATCATTATCGTCACCTTCAAAAACAACGAATAAGTATATCATCGACATAGCGTCTGTAGAAGTTGAATTTATTGATGATAGTTTTGTTCTTGAACAAGACGTTTGATTGTAAGTGGGAGAGGAAGATTTCAGCCAGGAGGGGTGAAAGATTATTCCCCATGGGGAGACCTGATATTTGTGTGTATTGGACTAAATTAAAGACAAAAAAGTTTTGTTGGAGACAAAGGTCTAGGCAACTTAATAGGAAACTAACGGTGTTATCTGAAGCGTTGGAATTGGATAGGAGGCTTGAAATAATTGTTCTACAGTCTTTAAACGGGATGCTAGGAACGAGATTAATAATATCGAAGGAAACTAGACGTTGGGAAGGCTTAATCTCTTTTACAGATAACTCTTGAGCAAATGAAGTCGAATTAGTTATTGCAAATTGTGAAAAATCAGACAACAAGGATTTGAGGGTGTAATTAAGCCAGCTGGAGAGTTTGGAAACGGGAGTATTAGTGAATGATACTATAGGTCTCATAGGGGTGTTAGGTTTATGAATTTTCGGAAGAGCATAAAGGCGGGGGGTAACCGGATTCATAGGGAGGAAGAAATTGTAATTTAGGTTGAATTGGGATTTTATAAAGTCTCTGTGGAAATAGATGAACTTTCTGAAATTTAAGTTGAAGCTGTTAAGGTTACTCTTTGAGATAGCAAAATCTTCACCCTTGAGAAATTCCTCGACTTTAGAAAATAGTGGTCTTTGTGTACAATAACGAGAGCATTGCATTTGTCGGCCTTAGTTAGACTGAGGTTTTGGTCCTTAAGCTTGGTTCTAATTGAATTTATTTATTGATGTTATGAAGACAAGTAGATCTCAAAGCAGTAATGTCACATTGAGGGTGGTCATTTTGAACTTTTTGGATTATACATTCAAGATCGATTTTGAAATCCATCATAATTGTTTTACGGTTGACTGTGAAGGGATTGTGTTTTAGGCCAAGATTAAGGATCCCAAGCTCTTGCGTATCGAACTTAGCATTACTTAAACGTTTTGATGGAAGTTGAAGTTGTGTTTTGGGTCAAAGGAACGATTATTTGTAGCAGGTTTGAGTAAACAGAGGGTTTTAATTTTGTTGTTTAATTTTTGAAAAATTTTCGACCCAAAATTCTCAACTTCATCTTTCACGAAACCGATGCCAAAGTCTAGTTCTAAATTGTGTAACAACCTGTGAAATTCTTGGTGGGCTTGAACAAGTGTAGATTTATTGAATCCCGAATCTGGTAAGTACCAGTAGTTGATTTCATTTCTTAGCCATGATATTCCTTCAATGTATCGTCAAAACTTCAATATGTATCATCATAAGGCTTCAACAACTTTTCAATAATGTAATTTTTCTCACACCGTACTCATAAGTAAGTGTTTTCAATAGCTATCTAGTCAACGGTTTAACTTTAAATATTTTAGTTTGTTACCTGAAGATGATTAACAATCGAAACATGTCGTAACATTTCACAATTATATCTGTCTGTCAACAATTAAATATCCAGATTTCCTTTATCGCTTAATAATTATTGTAAATAAACGAAACGAAGGACAGGCTAAACTCAGCTATTGAGTACTACCGAAGAGCGAAGACAAATGCGTTAGCACGATTTACCGTAAGAAATAAGATTTGGGCATTACCTACGTACCTACCGTAACCGTTCTAACGCAACCTCAAAGCGAATTATAGAGTTCACGCGCAACATGTAGGGTTTAATTCCAAACGTTATATGCGGGTACGGAACCGGAATGTAAGAGAGTTAGCATTGCGCGTGCGCAAAACAATATTTTGAAAACTATTACCATGAAATTATTGAAACAAAAATTCGATTTTTACGTAAATACTAAATTATAATTTATTTATTTTTTTCCGGTTTCCGAATTGAAAGGTAATAAATGAGGACCAGGACATGAGCAGACGCTGAATTTTTCGGAGAGAAAATATTTCGATATAAAGAAATTAGCATTGAATTTTGAAATCCGTATGATGAATAACCCGGTTCTACGCCCTGTATATATTTACCATGGTTATGGTTCCTTCTCCAAATAGAGTAAGCAGAAAATTTGAATAAAGTTCTTTACTTTAATCAAATTGTATATATTTAAATACCTTCGTAAATAAAAAAGTTTACAATTCGGTTCATAAGTGGTCGAGATATTAAAAGAGCACTGTGAATGTTGAATCGATTAGACTCACCTTTTAGCATTTTTGTTTTTGACGTATTGTATGGCTAGAGCTATGCCCATATTGAATTTAAATCAATTCGGTTCATAACTAACGGAGATGTCAAAAGGGCCTTGTTTATTTTCCGGCCTATATTGCCAATTCACGAACGCCGATCTCCAATTTTGGTATAAAATCTACCTGCAACATTTCATCGTAATCGGTCCACTCGTTTTCGAGATATCGTGCTAACGGACTAACGGACGGACGGACAGACACGGCAAAATTATAAACTCGCTAGGAGTTCGTTAATCAGGGTCATAGCATGCTCGTAATGCTATTAATGTATTAGATGACGTGTGTGCAACATGCTTTATATCTTATAACTGTCTCACACTGTCGCATTTCAAATCTCCTCTCGCTTCCTCACCCTAGTCTAGCCCCTAAACATTCGAGCGTTTCTAATAAACGTTGCATGTAAATTTCGAAAGTAGCATCCTGTAAGTGTTTTCAACACCAAAATGCTGGAAGATGCATAAAACCAATGTAGGGCTGCGGGATTTTTTTGCATGCATAGTAGTACCACAGGTTTACATTTGTGACAGTACCTATCTACCGTTATATCTTAAAATGATAGTATTAGAAGTGTGGTACTTTAGTACTTACCTACACACGATCAATTAAGGTTTTTATCATGCGAACGACAAAAAACGCATCAATAAACTCTTTTATTTCAAAATTGTAGATAAACAAATAAAAGCAAGTACTTAGTGTAAACTAAAAACTAATAACATTTTGCTGTATGAGTTATTGAGCATGGTATAATATTTACAGGGAATCGTTTTGCCGTTATATTTATGTACTACTA